CTGCCTAACAACCAAGTAAAATTGATATGTATAGAGCTTCTGACAATACACATGGTTTCAAAGCAGCTTTACAGAAAGTTATAGTTATGTCTGTAATGCCTCGGTGCTTTAAAATAGAGCAAGTTTTAGTGCTGGATGATATGATAATTAATAACAATGAGTGATTTAGATTAGATCTAGCTATATTGTACTTATAGTGTTGTCTAGCACATATTTCAATATTCGGTCACAGGTCTGGATTGGGGACACTGAATACTGGTCTGTATTGTTCTATTTAAATATTTAAATGTTGGGCAGTTTTCTTCTAAGCAAGAGTAAAGGTTTCTCTAAATGTATTAATGAAAATATTAAAGTCTGATGCTGGAGCACATGCATGAGTGTTCAGAAGTAATTATGGGAATAATAGTATAATAGCATTAATAATAGAATAATGGTTTTGTTGTAAGCGAGAGTTGCCAATTCTCAAAAAACATCAATGAGGATATGATCCGTTGTCTTAAGTGAAAAATAGTCAGTTGTTATAGTATCTAATGTGAGTTTAATAGTTTCCAAATTGAATCAGTAGTGATTTAAATAACAATGTTGAGAAGAGTATGGCTTTAAGTTCAATTATACTGTCTCTGATTTCAGGCAGAATTATTATATCTTGATGCCATTCCTAATTGTGGTTGAAAAATAGTGTGGTAACATGACTGGATGATGATTGCCCATGTATTTTTTTATGTCTTTTAAATTAGGTAAAATTTGTATAATGTTTATATAACAATGCCTGGATGATGATTACTTCTGATTTGAATGCTTCAATACATGAAGTTGGCATTTTTATTATTTATTATAAGCATGGTTTATTAAATGAAAAGCATATCACACCAGTGTAGGCATACAGTAACTCTGCATGGTCCAGGGTGCACATTTTAATGGCAAGTTTACTTTTTATTCCACTGTGCGAGAGCATTTTGCAATGCCTTTTTTATACATCAGGCCCCAAGAGTTCTTTTATGTAAGTTTAAACTACCTGAATCTACTGGATAAAGATTAGACCCCACAAAATTCTCAGATTAGTGAAAAAGGGCATCTCCAGCAAATAAAGTCACTTATTCCCGTTGATAACTCGAAATGTCACTGGATAAGTGATTTGAATTTCTGTTTAAAGTGTGACCCTGGACCACAAAACCAGTCTTAAGTCGCTGGGGTATATTTGTAGCAATAGCCAAAAATACATTGTATGGGTCAAAATGACAGATTTTTCTTTTATGCCAAAAATCATTAGGATATTAAGTAAAGATCATGTTCCATGAAGATATTTTGTAAATTTCCTACCATAAATACATTAAAACTTAATTTTTGATTAGTAATATGCATTGATAAGAACTTCATTTGGACAACTTTAAAGGTGATTTTCTCAATATTTACATTTTTTTTGTACCCTCAGATTCCAGATTTTCAAATAGTTGTATCTCGGCCAAATATTGTCCTATCCTAACAAACCATACATCAATGGAAATGATGTATAAATCTCAATTTCGAAAAATTGACCCTTATGACTCGTTTTGTGGTCCAGGGTCACAAATGACGTTTGTAATTGAAGACTGTGGTGTTATCTACACTACAGTGACCTTTGTTATTACGCTGCACAAAATGAGACTTTGCCACGGCTCAAAGGCACAGATCTATAGTTAAGGCAGAAGTAGTGATTTGCATAATGGACACAGAGGTGTTTCAGACTGGATAAACAAGATCTCATTCATACAGAATGCAGCCATGATCTCTGCCGTGATGGTATGGCACAGGTTGTGAGGTCTGAGGTGGAATTATGCGAGTAGGATTATGCACAGAGGGATGCTGTTGCTTGGAAACAAATGCTGCAAAGTATAGCTAAATGAACAGTGACATTACTCTCACTGACTACACTTGGAAGTGCAAATGCTCTTTGAAGCTAAGCAGTTCTCAATGTAAAGGCTCGTTCACCAAGAACGATATGACTAACTATATTGGCATTCACATAAGCAGATGATAATGTTCAGTTTATTATAAGTGTATGCTGCATTTTTCTCGTATGCTACTTTAAACTTTAAAGCTTTGTCAATGTTAATATTATTCATCAACTGGAAGTATTTGTTCTGAAAGTGATTCCAACAGTATCGGTCCTCTATGCGGTTATTGTTATTGCAGTGGTGTGGACATCCCTATTCTCATATTAGAAACTTTCTAGTTACAACTGTAGTTATCTTCCTTGGTGTGAATAATAGTCTGAATAATAACAAGTCTGATGTTGTTTACAGACTAAAACTTTGGACAGCTGTATATAAGAAAGTTTGTGTCTTTGTTTATTCCATTTATTGCAGCCTAAAAGCACAAACAAATTCCTCACTTAATTTAAACCATTCACTTTTTGGTAAAAAAGAGCACGAGTGTGATGGAAAAAGAGAAGAGAGTGAAAGTATTCACTCTAGACTTTAAAAAGCACACATAATCATATCATACATATCATAACACATAATTATGATATAAAAGCTCAGAAGAATCGTTGTGAGTTTTAGACCAACCTTCAGTGTCAGAATGAAGTGGCTTTCTGAAGAAAAAGTTTAAACTTGCTATGAAAACAAACTGACTTTGAGAGAGCCAGAGAAAGAGAGAGAGAGAGAGAGAGAGAGAGAGAGAGAGAGAGTGAGAGTGAGAGAGAGAGAGAGAGAGTGAGTGAGTGAGTGAGTCACTTTGGGCTCTGACTCATACAATAAACTTTCTTTAGTCCTGGTCATCTAAAGGATGACATTCTTCCATCAAGGAATACAAAACTAACATTACTCTCTTGAGGGGAATTCACAGAGCAGAGATGTGCCACTTAAGCGCCAGTCTTGATGCAGACAGCTGGCAAAGAATGTGCTTTATAACTAACCATTCCAAGGACACAGCTGGGACAAATGAAAGAACGCATTCTTTCCAATGAATTAGCTCTATTTTGCATGCTGGATAAGTAAAGGATAAACAAGCACAGATTCATAGCAAAGCTCATAGCACTCCAACTGACTGATGCATGCAAAAAATACACAAAGCAGAATTTGAAAAGACTAAAATGAAATAAACATTGTTTTTCTAATGATTCTCTTTGTCTATTTATTACTGCCTACCTCAGCTAAAACAAAACTCAGAAAAAAACACCTAAATAATTAGGCTATTAAAACATGGAGAAATATAAAATACTTGATAGCCTACTAACACCAAACTAAACGGTAAACCTATATATCTAATAGCCTATAGCCTATACAACGGGCTAACAAATATCTGTTGCCATTTAACGTAAGACCGTTTTTAAGAAGTCTGCAAAAGTGGCTTTTAAACACTTTAAATACGCGTTAAACAAATTAGGAAAAAAAGTATTTTTTTTTTAAACAGTTGCCTGCAAAAACAAAATAAACTGCATTTTAACGCTATCAAATGTTACAAATTATTCGCAGCAAGAGTATGACGAAAACGCGTCTCAAAACGAGCAGAAGAGAAAGAAACGTTATACTAGAGTAAACTCTTATTAAAGAAACTATGGAGCAAACGCGCCATTGAGGATGCACTGGCCAACATGCACTCACCCATGTTGCGTTCTCTGTGTTCGGGGGGCGTTAGTGAAAGTTCGGCGGGTGTTTGGAGTGGAAAGAGTTTCGCTCAACTGAACAAAATGTGTCGCTCCAGCTCGGGACCATCGCTGCGGTGACGTCACTGTTTGGGGTCCCCAGACGGGGCCACTCTTTCCTCCATAAGCGCAATGATGGCAGAGAGCGGCGCTTGTATAGTACCAAGTAGTCATTAGAAACATATAAGCGATAAACCAAGGATGATAAAACAGTGTCATACTCGCTCATGGTAATGGAAAATGTTGTGCTCTGTTTATTCATTACAAAAGAAAATGAACATTATATAGGTTCATTCACACCAAAACGACACAATTTTTTGGTATTTCATGTTGTCGTAAACTTTGATACTGAACTTGTGGAGAGCCCAGAGAGTACAACTGAATATAAATTGCAGGATGCTAAGAGACAACCACCATGGCAACCAGAAGGCAGGCTGGGAACTCTATTCAGTTTTGGCCATTTGGCATTATTCCAGCATGGCCTCACTAAGTGGGCAAACAGAGAAGCTGGAAATTTCTCAGATCCTGATGCCGGTGTAGAAAATGTCGACAATGTTGCAAGGCTACATTTGGGGGTCACATATTTTAATGGCTTATCTGGTGTGTCACAGTTTGCCATTGGCTAATTAAGAAAAAGACAATAAGAGAGTTTCTAGGTGATAGATTGCACCATAGTTCTTAATGATTAGCATTACATAAAGTACATTTAATGCAAGTTCATCTTGACAAAATGAGCTGAAACTCTGTACATTTTAATTCAAGGAATAGTTCACCCAAAAATGAAATTTTGCCAAAAATGTACACAACCACAGGCCATCCAAGATATAACGGAGTTTGTTTCTTCATGGGAACAGATTTGGAGAAATTTAGCATTACATCACTTGCTCACCCATGGATCCTCTGCAGTGAACAGGAGCCCAAACAGCTGATAAAAACATCACAATAATCCACAAGTAATCCACATGACTCCAATCCATCAATTAATGTCTTGAAGTGAGTTTGTAATAAAAAAAAATATATCCATCATTAAGGCATTCAGACCTAAAATAGAGTCCTCTATCCATAATATTGTTTCTTCCAGTGAATTTTAATTTTGGGGTGAACTATTCTTTCAAATGTTTTAATTAATTTTGTAAGTAACCACTTTTTGTTTGTAGACACAAAACCAGATACTCACCTTTCAAAATCTATTCACAAGCGGTCACCGAAGACACCAGTAAAACAGTGATCTTTCTAATTGTATCTCCAGAGGTGGACGTTAAAAACAAGAATATATGGGCAAATATCTATTTTTTTTCTCATTGAAAAACTTCAATCAGTTAAGAGTATCATCTCTAAAGCATAAGCACTATACCAACTGCCACACCCACACACATTTCAATGCAATACATTTATTAATCAATCAAACCACATTAATTAAACAATGACTTCTTCTGCATTAAAAAAGGAGAAATTTCAATGTAAAAACTGCACCAGAGAATAAGCCGGCAAACACAGTCTCATGTGCTCATGTGAGATGCAAAACAGAAGAGACAGACAAAACACATTAACCAAAGACTGTGGGGGAGGCAATGACCTAGTTAGGGAGAAATGACTACATGAAAAGAACGACACCGAAATCTAAGCAGCTCTTCCATCATTTACATGATATGAGAAACTTTAAAAAGATAGAACTGTGTGGATGCCACTACATACAGATATCGCAAAAGGAAATGAGTGCAAGTTGGGAATTGCAGAACTCTAACTCAATTTCAAAGTTTTTACTGATCATACTGAACTGAACATTTATTAAAAGTACTCTCTAAATGCTTTATCTGTCTATAAGGACATAAGTGTTTGTTCTACATATGCAAAAGGTCCTCACAGATGCTGATTTGATGCATCACTTCAGTACTGTCAGCACTGTTGTGCCAGGCATACTAATGATGGGGTCTGATCATCCTACAGATTTAGTGGTATAACCGGCCAGTACTTGGGCTGTTTTTTGTCACAGTTGCGGTCAAAGGTGAGCTGCATGGCTGCTTCCATCCCCTGAATCTTTGCTGCATCTTTACCATACAGCTTCTTCATCTCTGCGGTCCTCCTTTCTCCAGGACGCTCTGAAGGAGGCAGGCTGCTGCGCCAGGAAACTCTGTGCAAGTCTTGGTCAGCTAGAACATACGAGTCCTGCTGCTCTGCCTCCATCTGCTGTTGTTTCTCTACATAGCAGAGAAATGAGTAATGTCATGACTAGAAACATCACTTAAGCCTTGAAGATCAAAATAAGTGCCTTTTTAAGTAATCTTTTTAAAGATAAAAACACAAGATCAAGCTTGGTATTTTGGTGTTTGAGCACCTTAATGAGAAAAACATAACATTTTCCTGACATTAGTTAATGCTACCACCATGACAACTCAAATAATACATTGTAACTCAAATATGCATAGGTCAAATAATACATTACACATTTTTCATGTCTCCTATAATAATGGATGACCACAGGGTTTTTCGCTTAAGGATGTAGATTTTATATAGCACATCAAGTGCAACCAAACAAGTCTAAACACTACCATAAACAATTTGGTTTCTAAATGTTTGTTTTTGTGCCAATAATTGTTGCTGGCACAAACTATGCTTATTTGTAAGCAAAACCTAATTTAATGTAGTTTAGTTTGTATGTATGTTTATTTTCTACCTGTTGTTTATTATTTTCCAGAATGATGCCATGTCACATGTTGGAATCAGTCCATCTCAACTGGTCCAAACTGGCATTAAAATTGGTTGCTTGATCATTCATTCATTCATTCATGTGGCCTCTTTCTCCCTTTCTTCGTCTATACCTGTTGTTCTGTCTCTGTGACCATTCTTCCAGCTCGTCTGCATTCATAAGTTACCTCTATGTAATAAATAATTTTAAGTCTTAATAGGTCCCCATTTAAAGTTTGCCAAGGCTCCTAATGGTCCCCAACCCCCTGCTTCAAAACCGGTGTTTGACAAGCATAAACTATTATGCTTATATCATCATAAATTTACCATGCACTTCCTCACCACTGAAAACATAATTAAAAGAAGTCTCAAACCTGAAATGTTGCATGTGCACTACACTTACTTAAGTGCAACCTAAAGAAAATTTAGGACTGAGATTCAAACTCTTCCATTAGAAACTGACCCTAAACATGGAACTTTGCTAAATGTTTATACATTTACATATGCTTTTAAATTTGCTCTAGAGCAGGGGTTCTCCACTCTAGCCCTTGAGGTCCAAATTAGTTTTACCAGTGTTAACAGAAACTTCAGTTGTTGTTTCTCTACATAGCAGAGAAATGAGTAATGTCATGACTAGAAACATCACTTAAGCCTTGAAGATCAAAATAAGTGCCTTTTTAAGTAATCTTTTTAAAGATAAAAACACAAGATCAAGCTTGGTATTTTGGTGTTTGAGCACCTTAATGAGAAAAACATAACATTTTCCTGACATTAGTTAATGCTACCACCATGACAACTCAAATAATACATTGTAACTCAAATATGCATAGGTCAAATAATACATTACACATTTTTCATGTCTCCTATAATAATGGATGACCACAGGGTTTTTCGCTTAAGGATGTAGATTTTATATAGCACATCAAGTGCAACCAAACAAGTCTAAACACTACCATAAACAATTTGGTTTCTAAATGTTTGTTTTTGTGCCAATAATTGTTGCTGGCACAAACTATGCTTATTTGTAAGCAAAACCTAATTTAATGTAGTTTAGTTTGTATGTATGTTTATTTTCTACCTGTTGTTTATTATTTTCCAGAATGATGCCATGTCACATGTTGGAATCAGTCCATCTCAACTGGTCCAAACTGGCATTAAAATTGGTTGCTTGATCATTCATTCATTCATTCATGTGGCCTCTTTCTCCCTTTCTTCGTCTATACCTGTTGTTCTGTCTCTGTGACCATTCTTCCAGCTCGTCTGCATTCATAAGTTACCTCTATGTAATAAATAATTTTAAGTCTTAATAGGTCCCCATTTAAAGTTTGCCAAGGCTCCTAATGGTCCCCAACCCCCTGCTTCAAAACCGGTGTTTGACAAGCATAAACTATTATGCTTATATCATCATAAATTTACCATGCACTTCCTCACCACTGAAAACATAATTAAAAGAAGTCTCAAACCTGAAATGTTGCATGTGCACTACACTTACTTAAGTGCAACCTAAAGAAAATTTAGGACTGAGATTCAAACTCTTCCATTAGAAACTGACCCTAAACATGGAACTTTGCTAAATGTTTATACATTTACATATGCTTTTAAATTTGCTCTAGAGCAGGGGTTCTCCACTCTAGCCCTTGAGGTCCAAATTAGTTTTACCAGTGTTAACAGAAACTTCAGTCTCCATAGCAGGGTTCTCAACTCTGGCTTTCCTGCAGAGTTTAGCTCCAACCCTGATCAAACAAGCTAATAAGGGTCTTCAGGATAACTAGAAAGTTACTGGTAGGTGAATTTTATTGAGGTAGGAGCAGGTAGACTGAAGTTTCTGTTAACATTGGTAAAACCAAATTTTGCTGTGAGAGATGTAAAATTGAAAATGGTGAGTGCACATGGAACCATCATAAATCTTTCCACCCCATGGTCAAATTATAATTTGAATAATACTTTATATAAAAAAAAACCTCTTTATATTAACTTACTTTCTATTAATGCAGTACAGGTAATGACAACTGTCTGAGGTCTCTCAATGGATTATATCATGCACAAATAAGCATTATTTGATTAATTAATCAGGTGTTTTTGATTATGTTTGGAGCTGAACTCTGCAGGAAAGTGGATCTTGATGGCCAGATTTGAGAACCCCTGCTCTACATTATGCTTAATTATTATTATTATTTAAGATAGCCTTGTCCTTGCCGTCAGTGATCATCTTAGAAAATATTCCTGTACCAGTTGAGAATTGAGAATCACTGTTCTACACTGTTGTCAACCAAGCCAGTACTTTAAATATAAGATCTCATACTATCAGGTCAGTATTCAACAATAAATGAATAATCCCAAAATGATTGCAGTGAATTATTAGAGTGCACCTCTCCTTTAAGCAGGCTTAGTCTGTAAAACAGATGACCAGTGTGAAGAGACTGCATGACTGCAGTGGGGACATTCTGGGATAATGAGTTTGGCACAGCACCACTGCTCCTTTCAAGCTCTCATTCAACATTTCCCCACATAAAAGAATTATCTAAACAAATCAGAAGAGAAGATTTTGGGTTGTCTGTGCCATCAGTATGCATTTTTCCTGATATTTCTGGTTCCTGGTTCTCACTTCATATCTGTTTTTGTTTTAGGTTTTCTATTGTGTAACATCTATTTTTTGTTTGCTTGCTTTGATTGGATTACGTATGGTTTTTTTCTGCTGTCCTCTGTTTAGACTTACATTCTATTCATTTGTTGTTTCCCTTTTCCTTTGTAAAAGGACCATGAGGTTCTGAAAGGCGACATATAAACCTTTTTGAATTATTATTATTATGATAATAAAAAGCTCAAAAGAGAGGACCCACACAATCACCATGTTCCAGAATTAAACAAAACCAAAATAAACTAAGTTAGTCCAAAAACTGTTTCAGCAACAGAAAAACTAAAAGTATCTCTATAATAATAACAACAATAATATAAACTATATGGTGGTCCTAATATGGAGTGAAACCCCAAAAAGTGCAAGTTCTTGCAGCTGAAAGGTCAGTTTTTCTAAATATTTCCACATGTTTTTAAACACTTACTGAGTTCCTGCCTGTGTCGCTCTGTCTGGGCAAAGTATTGTCGCAGCTCTTCTGAGATGTCCATGTTACTGACGTCACACTCGATCTGGCTCTCATCCGAACTCTCCTCCTCCATCTCACTGTCTGAATCAGTGGCCTCATTTTCCCTTTCTTCTTCTCTACCTGTCGTTCTGTCTCTATGAGCGTTCCTCCAGCTCTCGTCTGCATGCCAATCTGAGTATCGCTGGACGGCAGAGGGGTACATGGAATACAGTGCCTGGAAGTAGCCAACCTCCAAAGCTTTTCTGTATGCCCGCTTATGCCTCTGGTGCCAGCTCATGGCCTGCTGGTAGTGCTGCCAATATCGGGCGTAAACCGGATGGGCGTACCACACCTCTCCATCACCCTGACTGGCCTGGAACACAACCAACGTTTTTGATGTTGACTAATCAGTAAAAAGTGCTTAAAATGATCACTCTGTTTCATATTGCATATAATCAGTCATGTAGCCTTCATTGGCTGTATAATATTGTATATTATATATATATTATACACACACACACAAACAAAGAAAAACAAGTAGATAGAATAGAAAAAATAGAAAGCTAGTTTTTGTTTTTGTTGTCGTTTTTTTTAAATAAAGAATAAAAAAAGGAAAAAAAAAGATAAATATAGATAAAGTAGAATTAAAATAGAATAGAAAGTGTTAGAGTTAGAGGGTCAAATAAAGGTGGAACAGATGTGTTTTTAGTCGTTTCGTGAAGATGTTTAAGGACTCAGCTGCTCGGATTGATTTGGGCAGGTCATTCCACGAGGAGGGAACAGTTAATGAAAAAGTCTGTGAAAGTGATTTTGTGCCTCTTTGAGATGGCACAATAATACACCGTTCACTTGCAGAACGCAAGCTTCTAGAGGGCACATAACTCTGAAGTAATGAATTTAGGTAAATGGGTGCAGAACCAGTGGTGGTTTTGTAGGCAAACATTAATGCCTTGAATTTAATGCGAGCAGCTACTGGTAGCCAGTGCAGATTGATGAACAGAGGTGTGACGTGTTATTTTCGGCTCATTAAAGATTAATCTTGCAGTGGCATTTTGGATTAATTGTAGAGGTTTGATAGAACTGGCTGAAAGACCTGCCAAGAGAGCATTGCAATAGTCCAGCCTGGACAGAACAAGAGCTTGAACACGGAGTTGTGTTGCATGTTCTGAAAGAAAGGGCCTGATCTTCAGTCATCAATCAATTACACAGAAGTGTAAGACTTACCATTACGAAGAGGAGACTAGTTAATGGGATCTATTTCTGTACCTGTTAGAAAGAAAGTTCATAACTTTATTTCAGTCACCAGTAAACATTTATGTATGTAGAGCAGTGGACAATGGAGGCGAATATTTTTGCCATAATACAGATAAAAGAAGTTATCTAGTAACTTCGGGAGTGCTTTTTAATCAACACAAGCGTACTATCAAGAATCCAATAAGTAAACGTATTAGACATTAAACTTAAACTAGCATTGTTTAGTTGCACTTACCACTTATGCCTTCCTCTGCCATGAGAGTATTCTTCTTCTTCTTGGTGTTTAATGGCGGATGGCATACAACGTTTATGTGCATTACCGCCACCTACTGATTAGGAGTGTGGATCAGGACCGTACTCTTCACTAAATTCTATTATATAATCCCATGTCCTTTAAATAACGCATTAAAAATTTAAAGTTTTTATCCCCTGATTTATTCCCCAAAATGTTCATCAAATTAAGTTTTTCTTTATTTTCCTTGAGGACATCAATCAGTATCTTTATTTGATGAACTTGAATCAGAACATATGAGTGACCGCATTGGTTTATTTTCCTCCACCCATTGCAATGCCAGTACAATTGCAATAATTTCACCAGTGTAAACTGACAAATTATCTGTGATTCTTTTACTGACTTTGACATTAAATTCTGGGATACTAAATGCCACACCTACTTTGTCTTCCATATTTTTCGATGCATCAGAATATATTTGAACATAACCATAATAATTTTCATGAATGTACTTATGTGCTATTTGAACATTTGATTTGAACTTATCCTTATTTTCCTCACTTAACAATGTCATATCTACCGTAGGTTGAGATATTAACCACAGAGGGATTGTTGACCACGGAACTGTAGGGCTTATTGGAGTTTCACCAATTTCCATTTCTTTTACCACTCTAGGCACTTCCCATCCAAAACTTTTGATTTATTTTTTTCCTTTTTCCCAGAAAGCTTTTAGAACTACCCTAGCTGGGTCTTCTTGACTATGTCCTAATATATTGACCCAATATCTTAGTGACAGTTCAATTCTTCTAAGATCTACTTTTTTTTTGTTTTTTTTCAACAGAGAATCTAAAACCCCACTTATATGACCACCTTTCTAATTCTGTTATTGCTTCTTGCACTTTCCTTACAACAAACTCTAAATTCGTCCCTCGTTTCCAGATTGCACCATCATCTGCATACAGAAAAATTCCTATTCCTTTTTCAACACTTAAAAACACATCAGCCATGAAAGCCAGTAGAAACAGAGTTGTTTTAAGGAGGAGATGGCAATCTGTCGCGCAATGATTCGACCACGTGCTCCTTGTAAGCCAATCATTTAATGGCTCTGACGTTGTCGGAGTTTTACGACAGCTGGCGTAAACAGAAACCTATTCAGATTGTACAGGCATGTAATTCCTTTGATGTCTTTGTGAAATTTTGTTTATTCCCCATAGACAGTGTATTTATTTATTGTAGTCTTTGTTAACAACTCTTTTTACATTTACATTTAGCAGACGCTTTTATCCAAAAAATGTTTTACGTGGTTATGTTGTTCATGCATTTATTGTTCAATAAAAATCTTTGCCAGATAGTGCCGTAAATGACTAGTCTAGCACTAGTCACCTGTTAGGATCTCGTCGTGTTAAGCATTGTTGAGCAAGATTGAAGTCTCCTCGTGTAAAGCGGTGGCTCTGGTAACATCTAATCACACGTCCAGTAGGTGTTGAAAGAAAAATGATATTGGTAATTTGACGACTGCTGCAGATGAGGGGCTACTGAGAAAATGGAGAACAATAATCGTTCTCTCCTGCGACGTCATCTACGGATGGAAACCTGCGCGCGCCCTCGTGATGACGACGTAAGCTCGCAGATTCGCATTCGCATCCGAGTCAGTGTTGCCAAACCCCTCCCTCAGAAAATCTCTAGAACCACCCTCGAGCAGCCCTAATATATATATATAATCAGCTGTATAAACTAACTTCACAACTTTCACTTGCACTGATATACAGTAGCATGATATTTTCGTTTAATTTTCTTCTATCTTGGACAGCTCTTTTCTTCTTGAACCACATGTTTCAAGGCATGTAATAGGCTGTTTGTTACTGATGTCACACTTTCATGTGCACATGCTCCATGAACTCAGGATCAAAACCTGAGCTGACAGAGACAGTTAATGATCAGCTTCATGTTACCAACAAATCCTGAGTGTATATTGTTTGGTTTCGTCAACTCAAAACTAATTCTGTAACCCAGAGTTTGTTCAACTACCATCATGGTACAAGCCCCAGATCTAAGAGTGTTGGGTAATCCATTACTTTCTAAGATGTGCTTACGAAAGTTAAATGGTCAGCTTTTTATGAGGTAGCTCCTATCCAGTAGGTGGCGGGAATGCACCATTTAAGTTGGTCTGCCAACCGCCATTAAATTTAAAAGAAGAAGAAGAAGAAGTCAGCCGCCGATCAGTCTGCGCAGTGCTGCATGAATTCGAACGCACCTGTTGGCATGATTGAGAGCAAACGTGAGCGGTCATGGGCCTACGGCAGGGTGTGGCCAAGAAAAAAATAAAGAATCTCCAAAAAATCGCTAGTTTTATTTAAATATAGCTAAAATAGCTCCTTGTCGCAAAAAAATAAAAAAAAAGTCGCAGCTACAATGAGAAAGTAGCTAAATTTGGCGACAAAATCCCCAAATTGGCAACACTGATCCGAGTTGACCGTTCAAGATGGCGGAGTATCTTGCGTCCATTTTTAGTGCAGAAAAAGACAAGTAAGCTATATTAATATATTTAGTTTGAACGGTGCAATATTAACTGATTTGTAGGCTAACATACCTGTTTGTCTGCTGCGTGTCTGCTGAGGTTTTACATCCGAACGCAAAACAATGTTTTTGTGTGAGATGTGAAACTTCCGCATTGCTCATGCTGCAGGTTACAACAGTGAAATCAGACACTGCCGCCAATGTTATAAAACATTTTAAATATATCTAATGTACTGACAACAGTAGTTGGGATTAAAATACTGCGGCTTTATCCGTTTAAAAAGTTAAAATTGACACTTTGCATGACCTTGTCACACTGTCAATGGCGATAATGTTATTTTGTCATAGTCTTCATATCTTGGAACAGTCTCCGTCCTGTTTGTTATTTCTAGGGTCAACTGCGCCTTTTATTTCAAAATTGGAGCCTGTCGTCATGGAGATCGATGTTCTAGATTGCACAATAAACCAACTTTCAGTCAGGTATGTTTACATCTCAAACTTTACACCCGTATGTTTTCATTTACACCTCATTAAAATTGGTTTATTGATGTTTAAAGTGAAACCGACTTTATGTTTGCTGTGTAGAATTTTTAGAGTGAAATAAATATATAATTGGATGTATTTCCTACATTTACATTTGAATATGTAATTGAATTGACAATTGCTCATATTGTCATATCTTGCCACACTTTTATTGAAAAGTTTTTTTTTTAACATTATAACTGAGAGTAGGCTTGTATTTGCATATTCACTTTTACATGTATGTGTTATTCTTTAAGTTTGATATAATGCTGCACTTTAATGGAAGTTGTGTCAAATAACAAATTTTGCTTTGCCTTTCAGTCACTTAATACATTTATGACATTTAGTGTACAGAGTCATTTGTAGTTCATCCATAGTTTGTGTTTAGGACTATTTTGTCTTAAAGCACCTGAGATCTGGGGCCTATACCATGAAGCCAGTTTCAGTTTAGTTTGCACCATAAAAGTGGCTTGGCCTTTAACAGTTCTTTGCCATAGTGTGTTCCACGGCTAACCTGCTACGGGGAAGGTTATGGTCTGGACAAGAGATTTAAATCCAAAACTGGACCAATCAGCTGCGAACAAAGTGACACATCTCTGACGCAATAAAGTCAGTATCCCAGTTTTTCAAGTCCCTGTTTATCTAATATATATGTGTATATACGAAAGTTAAATGGTCAGCTTTTTATGAGGTAGGATTTTTTTTTTTTTTTTGTGAATAGTGGTCCCTCCGGGTTTCAGTCTTTTGGATGCACAAAGACAACTTCCTCAGCATCATTTTTTTGTGTAACCAATTGGGGATTATTTATATACATATTTTGATTTCTCCATTTGCAGACCATCTTGATTTAAAACATCTACCGTAACCCCCAAAAGAGTGCACAGACAGCCGACACTTCTCGCTGTAAGTCCCGCTTTTCCTTGAGATAATGCTAGCTCGTGGGGTAAGCAAGAAATCCCATTTCTGTCCCAGATAATTGAGATAAAACTCAAAGTTGATGGAGAGGCAGCCTCAGCGCTGATACATTACACATCAAGTAATAAGTAACTGAAAACTTGCTCTTTCTAATAAACAGTAAAAGTGTTATGGATTTGTTTTTATAATGTGAGATTGTCCAGGCAATTGTTTGTTGCCCCTTTTCCAACTACATGATTCCTGAACCATTTTATATTTGCTTGTACATTCTCGAGCGATTTTATACCATTCTATCAAAGAAAAACAATTCTGGTATGGATAAAACTGGTTCTGCAACATCCGTAAACATTTTCTGATCTGGAACCAGGGCCTCATTTATAAAGATGTGCATAAAATGATCCTAAATGTGAATGTACAGCAATTTCTGAAATGTGCCTGCAAACAATTTATACAATGTCTATAGCACAAAAATAATTCCTTAATGCATCCTACATTATAAATCACACTTCATCTTAAAGGTGACATATCATGAAAATCTGACTTTTCCAGGTTTTAAGTGCTATAATCAGGTCCTTTGTGCATCTCCCAACCAAGGAAACGTGAAAAAGATTAACCCAGTAACTTTGTTTTGGGAAGCCTTTTTCTGCATTCGTTTGAGAAAATAGCGCGTCTGATTTTGCTTCCTTTGGTGATGTGGCAAAGGGATCTCATTATAATATTACCGCCCCTTAATCTGTAAGTTTACACCCACAGCACCGTTACTGTGTTTTCGCAAGCGACAACAGTGTACCAGCTCTAATGCCATTGCGAAAGTTTGAGCAAAACATGCTAACTGTTCTGTCTTTGGCTGCACAGACGAGCACAGAACACTATTTAG